TCACAGTAACCCACTGCAGCACATCAAAAACCCTTTGAGCACCAAAGCTGAGAACGAGAACAAGATAAAAGCAGACACAACTAATTTAGATTGACAAAATCAAAAAGGAAGAAGTGATTCACATCTTTTGTTCCCTTTTATGTCACAAAAAAACCCTCTTTTTGGTAATAAAAAACATGCTTGTACCATTAGTGTTTGCAGAAAGCAGTAAAACATCTATACTGTCAATTTACAATTTACAAACATCATAAGCAGAGACAATTTAAACCATCATGTTATGCTGGCATTCAAGTGTACAACACAATCAAATTACAGCTAGAAGACACATTACTATAGCAAAAAAATACTACAAATCTTTGCTGGCTTAAAGATAAAGTCAAAAGAGAGGCTGAAGAAGAAGACTCAAACACTTACTCTAAGACTCCTTATTGGAAGAAGCTGTAGTGCAAGTTCCCTGAGATGGGAGTTACTTTTTCACTCCAGCCCTCCTGTTTTCCCACAGAGCAATCTAAAGTGGCCTTCACCATCACGCTTCTGATCAGGCTAGCGACAGAATGGGGAATGGCGATGTGGGACAATGGACATGAATGTTGAAGCTCGTAGCAAGAATTTTTCGGAGGAGCTCCGCAAATTTTCGACCGCTCCACTCTAGGGACAGAGGTAGCGCAGGCTTTATCATTGCTGCAACAGGGAGGTCTGTCTGTTTCTGACTACTCTATCGAATTTTGCACGCTCGCTGCGTCATGCGGATTGAATGCCAAGGCGCAGTGGGATAATTTCCTTCACGGGCTGGCAGAGTACATCAAGGACGAGATTTATTCTCTCAAATTATCTCCCAGCCTTGACGGATTAGTCAACCTTGCCATCCAAGTTGACAACCGAATAGCTCTCCTTTCCCAGCATCAGAGGGGCGTATCCTCTCACAAGCTCTTCTTCAGCTTGGCCTCTGGAGTGGGGGGTGGAGCAACTTCTCAGCATCTTGTCTTGTCTGAGGAGGAGCCCATGCAGATCAGGAGAGCCCGGCTGACTGTTACTGAGCAGCGTCTGACCAACAATCTGTGCCTGTGGGGAAGCGAGGCATGTGGCGGCCTCGTGTCCATTGAAGAGGCGTGAGCTTCACTAATACTCTGCTGCCCTCTGGTGGTCGTTCCGTCCTCCAGACCTTATTGCAATTTAATGGGGCTGCTCATCAGGTGTAAGCTTTCATCTATTCTGTGACGGAGGGGGATTTTATGAACACCGAGCTGGCTGCTTATGTGTTCTGCCTGTTCCACTGGCCGAGTCAATTTCAGCCAGGACTCTCTGCGGCACCCACTTCACTAGGATTAGCCATTCACATTTTCGGGCAACTATGCAAAGAAGATTCGTTTTCTCCTCATTCACTCTCCCTCCACTTCAGTGGTTTTGGGACACACCTGGCTGGTCAAGCATAACCCTCACATTGACTGGGCTCTCAATTCTGTGCTGGCATGGAGCCCTATTTATTTATCTCAATGTTTGGGTCCTGCGTTTTCTCCTGTAATGTCCTGTTTTGAAGGTGTTGCTAGAGGAGCCGGTGAGGCTGGTGAGTGTACCGCAGGCTTACCATGACTTGAGAGCGGTTTTCACTAAGTCCCGAGCTTCATCTCTTCCTCTGGACCGCCCGTACGACATGTGCGATAGAGCTGTAGCCTGGCACTTCTCCGTCTAGGAGGTGCCTTTACTTTCATTCTGGGCCTGAGAGGGAGGCCATGGAGAAGTGTATTCATGATTCTCAGGTAGCTGGCATCCTCCGGCCCTCTTCCTCTCCGGTTGGGGTGGGGTTCTTCTTCGTTGAGAAGAAAGATGGATCGCTGCGTCTCTGTATTTTCGGGGCTTGAATGGGACGAATGGGAGATCGCCTTTAACACCCCCACGGGGCACTTTGAACATTTGGTCATGCCTTTTGGGCTTTTCAAACTCCCTGGCGGTCTTCCAGGCACTCGCCAATTACGTGCTCAGAGACATGGTCGACCGGTTTGTATTTGTTTACCTCAACGACATCCTGATCTTCTCCCAGAACGAGCGCGACCATGTCAAGCACATCAGATGAGTGCTCCAGCGGCTGCTTGAGAATCGTTTATTCGCCAAGGTAGAGAAGTGCGAGTTTCAGTGAGTTTGGGATTTATTCTTTCACCCAAGGGCATCCGAATGGATCTCGCCAATGTAAAAGCGGTTGCTGATTGGCCCACCCCAGATAGTTGTAGAGCTGTTCAGCGATTTCTGAGGTTTGCCCATTTTTACAAGCGGTTCATTCGGAATTTGAGCCAGGTCGCCCTGCCTCTAACTGATCTAACCTCCACTCGAATTCTCTTTTGGTCGTCGCAGGCCCAGGCTTAGTTTACAAACTTAAAGAATCCCCGCACCTTTTTTCTCATCATTTAGCCCCCTAGGAACAGAATTATTACATCGGGAATAGGGAGTAACTGGCTGTTAAGTTGGTGCTGGAGGAATGGCGCCACTGGTTAGAGGGTGCAGAGGTCCCTTTTATAGTTTGGACCGGTCATAAAAATTACATCCGCATAAAAAGTACATCCGCACCGCTTAACGGCTAAATTCTCAACAGGCTTACTGGGCACTGTTTTTCGGTCGGTTCAATTTCAACATCTCCTCCCACGTCCAAGAATGGCAAGCCCAACACACTGGGCTCTGTGCAATGTCACGGATCTCATGGGGTGCCCTGAGAGCCTGTTGTTTGTGCCCGAATCGGTCCAAACTAGCGTCCTACAGTGGGGCCACTCATCCGTACTAGCTCGCCACCCAGTAACGACTCGGTTTTGGTGGCCGTCCATGGCTCGGGACTCTCATCACTTCGTATCGGCCTGTCCGGTTTGTGCTGTGAGCAAGGGCGCCAATCGACCCCAGGCAGGGCTACTCCAGCCACTGCCAGTCCCTTCGAGGCCCTGGTCACAAATAGCTGTGGATTTCATCACAGGCCTACCCCTGTCTAGCATGGTAGTCCTCACTGTGGTGAGCAGGTTCTGGAAGGTGGCCCATTTTATTCCCCTCCCCAAATTGCCTTCAGCGAGGGAGACAACGACTCTTGTCTTGGATCACATTTCGCATAATCATGGCCTCCCTGTGAACGTAGTCTCTGACAGGGGCCCTCAATTTGTATCTAAGTTTTGGGTAGATTTTTGTCGACAACTGGGAGCGACTGTGAGTCTTTCCTCCAGGTATCACACGCAGACGGACAGGCCAAGCTAACCAATATCTGGAGAGGGTATTGCGCTGTGGCTTCTGCAGAACCATCATCTTGGAGTTCCAGATTAACCATGGTTGAGTATGTGCATAACTCCCTCCTGGTCTTATCTACTGGTTTGTCTCCCTTCCAGTGCTGTTTAGGCTACCAGCCACCATTATTCCCCTCCCAAGAATCCAACGCGTTGTTCCGTCAGCACACTCGTTTTTTCAGAGATGCCTCCATACGTGGAGGATCGCAAGAGAAGCCCTCACTCGGACTGTGACAGAAACAAGGCGTCAGCAGACTGTCACCGTTTTAAGCCCCCACTTTATGTGTGCTTTAAGAAGGTCTGGTTATTTTCCCAGGACATTCCTCTTAAACTTCCTGCATATAAACTGGGTCCCAAATTTATTAGACCATTTTCCATCACCAAGGTGCTCAGTCCAGTATCAGCTCGATTCAAATTCAGCCCCCATTTTAAGAATATCCACCCGTTTTTCATGTCTCTAAGATCAAGCCCGTCATTCAGTCCCAGACGTCTGCCCGGTTGCTTTTTCGGCTTCCCTGTTGTCTGTGTTGTCCTGTCATTTTCTGCAGCTCGTGTCCTGGGCAATCAGCGCTGATTTTGCAGTGCGGATGTGTGCAGATCACGAGTTGATTGACCTCACCTGTCGCTTGTTACCTTTCCCTTATATTTTCTGCTGTGTCTGCCCCTTGTTGTCAGTAGATTTTTGTGTGCAGTTGGATCTATGCTGTGTGGACGGCTCTGGAGCTCTCACACATCCCTTTTGTCTACACTTTGGATGTTGTTTATTCCCAAAAGTGTCTAATAAACTGTTAAACGAACCCTCTGCTTTTGAGTCCTCCATTCACGCAGCTTCTTGACACAATTTTTGTGTAAATTTGTCTATTCAAGTGCAAGAAGACATGAAACAGAACTCAATTCAGTATTCCCGCGCTGTCTGAAGCCTGGTTTATATTCGTGTCCACATGAGCATGAAAATTATGTCATTGCAGTGTGGGTAACTTTTGCAACACTTGCACAACTTCTATGCGACTCTGAACGAGCAGGTACATCTGTACTGGCATATTACCAACATGCAGTTTGCGCTTGTCTAAATTAATTGCTAACATTTACAAAATGAGCCTACAATGGCAGAAACAAGCTTGTTTAAAAAATGTCCATGTTTAATAAAAATGTTCATGAAATCAAAAGAAATTCCATTGCTCTCATCCCGGGTCAGGAAGCTCTGCTCTGCGGCTCTCTTCTTGAGCATGTATTGGCCACGTCTAGTTCGGAGGAGCTAGATGTAGAGGGATTTGAGACAGATGTTATCAGTGAGACCGCCTCCTCCACGCTTTGTTTAACTTTGTCGCCGTTGAACAGGAAGTTGCTCATGACAGACAAGATGAGCGATTTCAGCTGCGCAGAGCCACAGATTAGACAGATTTCACAGATTACAGATTCAACGGTGATTTGAGTCACAACGAGATTATGTGACCCACTGTCTCACATGCCGCGCTCTCTCTCCAGCTTAAATAAAGGTAGATGTTGTAAGATGATGTAACTCCTTTCTCTTTGGCTGCCCTCCTTCCAGAATAGCTGGAGGTGAGGATGCACACTACTCTGGGCAAAATAGGCAATAAGCATTGCCATTTGTTTTCACTGCTCACTTAACTAACAAGTAATAGCTTGGCTCCATGACAGTCCATTTAAATGTCAATACATCTTTCTATTGTAACTGCATTGCTGCAGGGGACAACTTATGGCTTATAATAATCACAGGATGCTCCTTACCTTGTATTGTCTGTGAAAGAACAATCCCAAGTCCAATTTCTGATGTGTCCGTCCGAAAGATGATGGGTCTGTTGAAATTTTGAGGCATGAAGAACCGCCTCTATTTTTGCCTCTTTCAGAACCTGTCAACACCACTCTCTCGTCCTGTCACTTCTTTGTCAGGTCCTTTAGAGGGCAAGCTATTGAGAAGAAGTTAAGAATGAAACAAACAGTAGTATCTGGCCAACCTTGTCCAAGAAGTTGCCACTTATGCTTGGTAAGGCTGCAACATCCCCCTAAAACTGCCCTAGTACTGCCAATGGCCCCCAGGAAAACTGAGCACTGTCTTTTTCTTTTACTGAAGCAACTATAGGGCGCTTTTTCTTTTAATCGAATCAACAGTTAACAGTTCTGGATTCTGGTTCTAAGTTCCTCCAAATGTTCTGGTTCATTTGGTTCCATTAAAGAAGTCATGACATAAGGAATCACTGAAGGAAGCCCAGTAAGTGCCTGTTGGTCCTCTCAGTCACAATAAAGACAAAACTTTAATTAAAAATCTAAATGGATTAGATATAGAACGCACACAAACTTTGTTCCCTTTGGAATGACTAAAAAGCTGTCCCTCACATCAATTCATTTTAATATTTAACAATATTATTGTTCTGACTGCATTGGCACCATTGTATGAGAACTGAACTGAGCTGGACGATGAAATTGCTGTTTTCTCCAGAGCTGCTGTATAGATGAATGAACTACATTAATAACTAATGATTTTTACAACATAATTGAATTGGCTCCAGATTCGGATTCGGAGTTCTTCCTAACTTCTGATTAGCCAGTGTGTTCAGGAGATCAACAGACGTGTCTATGATTGCCTACATTGCTCAATGCTGCAAAAACACATAGATATAGAACATTTGACACTCTCCAGAGTACAAACACAAATACGCACTGGTGCATTGCTAAATCTGTGTGGACAATATGCTAATATTACATCGGATGGTGCTCTTGCTTTTGTTTGAATGTGCTCATCACCCTCTAGCACCTTTCATAAGAACCCGGCCTGCATTGAAGCAGCATTTTGTAGGGTCAGGTTTAAAATTAAAGTCAAAATCAGTTCCAAAATCTTTTGAACATGCCTGATTTTTAACCTTACTTGGCCTGCATCTTAGTCTCTGGTATAATGTAGAGCTGCTCCATCATCACGTTATTATGCTGTATGACATTAATTCTTCAGAGGGGAGGTGTAAATACATCCAAAAAATGCCCAGGAGTTCTTTCAGCTGCTTTTTCTGGGTCAGTGAAAGCAGATTTCCTAGTAATGGCTCTATCAGGGTCTCCGCTGCAACTGTGGGTTTAGATGCACCCACTTCTTCATGAGGTTTATATGATAGCAGAAACTCTCTTCTTCCCCTGAATAAATAGCTTAACTGGTGTAAATCCAGGGCTGTGTTATGACTGCTTAAATACCTACTGGTCCTAGCAAGGTAAGATAAGCACACACACAGAGAGTTCTATCTATCTTTTTTTCTTACCTAGGTGTTTGATCAGTTTTAATTCTCTGATTCGTTTAATTTAATTGTTTGTGCAATTGAATACTTTGTCTGCTTTTTAAGTTGCGTTGTTCAACCTGCAGAACCTAGATCAGACATGTGACGGTGTGAATTGAAGAAGACTCTAAGTCCAAAGGCTCCAATACAAACGATTTACACACATACACACACACACACACACACACACACACATACACACACACACACATACACACACACACACACACAATCATGAACAAAGTTAACTCTTGGTCCTATTCTTTCACAGCCTTGCAATTACTCTATGGTCTGTTTTCGTATTGCCCCAAAAGGCCTTGATCCAGGTCTGCCACTGCAAAAAGGCAACTGCCCCCCGATTCAGGACTAAGTCCACCACAACTCGTGCCTTTAAGAGTTGGTGGTGCAGGGACCCACAGTGGGCATTGGGACATGGGCATTTGAGCAGGTCTGGGTCTGGGCCTTGAAGCAATGTCGGTCCTGGTTTTCGGTCTTGGAGTTGTGGTGGATGAATCGGGGGGCAGTGGCCTTTTTGCAGTGGCAGACCTGGATCAAGGCCTTTTGGGTGTTTATGCTGGTGTTTAGCAATTATGAATTTTTCATCTAGGACTCAGGAGTCCTAGATGAAAAATTCAGAATTGCTAAACACCAGCATAGTTTTGCATGCTGGGACCAACATGGGTTGCTGGTTTCTGGTTCCCAGCATGGGGATTGGAAGTGCTGGTGACCCAGACACAGCAGCTTAGTTTCGTTTAAGAACAGAATGACACTATGTTTCCATCCACCTATTGTTATGCACATTTTGGAATATCACATAAAAACTGCTAGATGGAAATCCCAAGATGGTCATAAATTCTAAAAATGCGCATAAAAAATGTATGTACTCGTTTGAGTCTGATAAATTTTTTATACAAGCATAGAACAAGCATGAGCATAGAACTGTCTTGACTGCACATAAATAAAATTTGCAACTTTTAGATGGAAACAATTAATGCAAGCTCTAACCAGCCTGGAAAAATATGGAATTCATGCTGATTTATTCTGGATTCTTCAGCAAGGTTACCTGAACATTAAAAAAATGTTACCAAGGCTCGAACTTTTGACCAAACAGTTTGAAATAATATAGGGCGCTGTTGTCATCTGCATAGTAATGCTCTCTCTCTCTCTCTCTCTCTCTCTCTCTCTCTCTCTCTCTCTCTCTCTCTCTCTCTCTCTCTCTCTCTCTCTCTCTCTCTCTCTCTCTCTCTCTCTCTCTCTCTCTCTCTCTCTCTCTGTACACAAGTTCTGGAAGACCTCATCAATGCTGAAGGCATCTTTGCTCTTTTGCATTATTGTGGTTTGGTGTTAATGTGTGTGGGCTCAGGGCATCACTGCATTAGTGTGGTGGATGGGTGTTGGTGGGCGAGAGTGTGTGTGGGTGCTGCGAATTGGCTGGTACAACAATGTGCTGTGTGGGCGAAAGAGAGAACTCTTTGAAAAAAATGGAATGAAAGGGTGAAATGATGCAGTGAATATGGAGGAGGATCAAAGAAAACACATTAATCAATGGAAAAGAGAATATATGCATATCTGTTTCATAGACCTCTAATGAAAATAAAGGGTTTGTTTGTGATACCCTCTGCATTTTCACCAGAGATTCAGTTCGATTACAAATCATCACATGAATGATAAACACCAAATTCGTTATCAGTTTAATAGTAAAGATTAAATTCAACACACTTTTAATTTTCACCTTTCGTCATGCAGTACTCTTAATACTGCATATTATATGAGAGCTTTAAAAGTGGTGAATTGACAGGATTTACCTTTACCTGTCCACTTATAATAAAGTGTTCTTTTGGTTGCGCTTCTTCGCTTAATGGATCAGTTCTGTTATGAATATTGGTGTCCAAACTTAGCTAGAATTCAGTATAAGTACATTTTCATTTTTTGTACTTTCATCACACCATCAAAATGACACATCACTTCTTGTCACTTCCTGTTCATCTAAGCTCTAGATCCAGCAAATTCATTCAGCTGGCAAAATCTCAATGATTTACAGAAATTAGAATTTTTACTAGAAACAAATATACATATTTGTTTGTGATATATAAAACGTTATCTGTATTTTCACCTTATCTTCCAATACAACTAATGAAACATCTTTGAAAAAAAGATACATTTACTTCAGCAAAATTGTTTACTTACATTCTACTAATACTCGTAATACTGTCATAAAAAAGCAAGTGGGTTCCTTTATTAGTTTTATATAACTGTTAATGAAAAATATTTGACATTGGGTAAAAAAAAAAAAAAACAGAACAAACTACTGACAGAACAACAAAAACAGAATTCAGACTAAAAAAAGACAGTGCAATTCAATCATCCACACACCAAAACATTGAGCAAAAGCTGCAGTATAACCTTCTACACAATCTACACAGAGGAGCAGATTCTTTACCTGCTGATATGATGATTCCATGTCCATGATAACCGCAGAAAAAGAGCACACGGAGTGAAGAGAGAAACATTGACACACTCTTGCCCTCGCTCCCTTGCTCCCTCCCGCTCTCTCTCTTTCTCTCTCACCAACAAATTATGTAAGGGATAACGTACACTCCGCCAGTCATAACCACCAAATAAACCGACAAGGCAATCAGGACGCCAACGCCAAGCGGAGCCAATTATTACACAGCTACTCATCAAATAAATTAAATATTGATATAAATGAAATTATTTACTATGTGAGAAGAAAAAGATAACAGAGTGTTACAAGAAATATGAAACCTGTAGAGAAAGAAATCTGTTGCCTAGGTGAAGAGTCAATTATGGCCTGGTTTCACAGACAGGGCTCAGATTAGGCCTTAGTTCAATTAGGACATTTAAGTAGCTTTTATAAACGTTCCTTAGAAGGAAAAAAACATTACTGATGTGCATCTTGAGACAAAACAATGGCACTGACATATTTTAAGATATCTCTGTGCAAATTGCTTTAACTTAAAACAGCTCAAACATGCATTTTAGTCTGAGACTAGATTTAAGCCTCATCTCTGAAGCCGGGGGTATATATTTTAGTGTTTCTTAACAAATATTTTTCCACAGAATGCCACAGTTAACCAATAAGAATAAAATAACCCAGAGAGCCATGTAATATATTTAAATAATGTTCCATATTTTAGACATTTAAATTTTTACAGACTAAGGGCCAGATTTACTAAACAGGGCAAATTCCAAAAAAGCGCTGATGGGTGTGGAAAGTTCTGCACTTGATCTACTGACGACACGCACATTAATGAACACAGAAGCATCCGGATAATTTCCATAATGACCAACACAATCTACTTAGAGCAGCGCAAATTAGCGCAAACACTCTCCTCCAATAAATTCTGCATCTGTGCCCACTCCTTTTCAGCGCAAATTTTTCACTGCCTGTCTGCGTGTAAAAGTAGTTTTTTAACGCCAAAAGAGGGTTTGCGCTGGTGCAAGCTGTAAATCTGGCCCTAAAGCCTCTGTATAGGGATCATCATGCTAGTGATGTGTGTCATGCTTGTAAACAAACCATCCACTGCTTTATGTGATGTGTGTGGGTGGGTAGAACTGGACTGGGGACACACATAAACACATTACACAAACACACACACACACACACACATACATTCTCATGTCTTGTGGGAATATAAAATGCTTCAGGACACTGATCTTCTGTTCCAGTGTGGGAGTGCATTTGGAAGATACTAGAAAAATATCATGGGGTGAACTGCTTAAAAAAAAAAAAGTACAATTTTTTATTTTACCAAAATAAAAAAGTAATCATTTAAAGAAACATTATGTCACTTCACGTCACAAATCCAAAAGATCCAAATCCCATTGAACTGTTAACCTGCGATCAGAGCAGTCAGATGAATTCAAGAACCTTTTCAGTGAGCTGACCAAGTTTACAAAAAACGGTCTGATTAATATTTTCACAAATCATGCAGATGCGGTTCTCGGGTTCAACTGCAATGACTTGATACGCTTGTAGCGGTTAATAGCTCACAATTGTGAGCTAAGTTTTTTAATGTTACTCACATAAAGCGGTAGTGCTGCTTACGTGAATAAACCATAATATTATTCAAAACGGATGGTTTGGAATGGCCACTCTTAGCTGCATTCATATGAAGTATTTATCTTACACTGGATTTTTAATAAAATCAGGCGGTAGACAACGAGTAATTAACAGTTGTGTACATTTTACTTAAAACTTGCCGGGTGACCAACAATATGCATTAGATATGGCGCTACTAGAATAACATTGACTCACTTATGTCCAACAGTGACGCAAATATTTAGTGTCTATAATAATAATAATAATTCATTACATTTATATAGCGCTTTTCTAGGCACTCAAAGCGCTTCACATGGAAGGGGGGAATCTCCTCAACCACCACCAATGTGCAGCATCCACTTGGATGATGCGACGGCAGCCATAGTGCGCCAGAACGCCCACCACACACCAGCTTATTGGTGGAGATAATAAGTGAATATAATATAAGGCTTATAAGTGAATATAATATGAAACCTGCACTGGGTTTGTTGAAGAAACTGTGTTTTGAGAAATGCATACTGCATTTACTTTCGCTCGACTGTTAGAGTGAATTTTAGCAGTGAAAGCTGGAGTGTTTTTAAAATATACAACACACTATAAGCTTCAGAAACTGTATGTGTACTTCAGCAGAGACATATGTCTATTTTTTTATCTAAATATGCACAATATGCTGTAGCAAAGATTCTGAGGGCACTTTCTCCAATTTAAGTGCTTAGTGTAGTCAGTGTGGATTGCAATGGATGTGTACATTTGATAAGTGCTATACCACTAAAGATTTTTTTTTTATCTAAATATTTTTCAGTGTCATAAACAGACATAAGCTATTTGACTTGGGAAGTTAACCTTATAATATTATATATTTATTCATATATATTTTATTTCCTTTTTAAAGTGAAGCAGTAATTCCTATCATCAGACTTTCCACTGGCAGTGCATTGTTGCTAAGCAACTAAATGAAAAGTGTACAATAGAAATAGGACAGTTTGAGATTATAACACAGACAGGAAAGAGCACATACCACGGGTGATGAATATGACAGTTAAAAACAAAGAAAAACTATTTACTCACTGTATCATTACCAAGCACACTGCTCAGCTTTTCTATCATTTTAAAATAAAACCCTTTATATGCCATATGAGAAGGTCGTAGAAGGATTTCCAGTAAATGATGTCACCAATTTACAAGAAAAGAAATCTCTACAAGCAAACAACCACATTCATAAAGACCACCTCTTCTCTATAACCCATGTGCCATCTCTCTGTTAGTTGTCATGCCAACAAATAATGAAATGCAAAAAGCTCTGACCAACATAGTTTGCCCTACATTTTATATAATAGCACTATGACACTCATAAGTTTATCAGTACTGAAGATTCCTGAGTGGCATAATGGTACTTGGAATGAATAGATAAATATATTAGCAGTCCTCATAAATTGAGTCTTTGGCAATGAGATGGTTTTGTGACAGTCAGTGGATCAGTTATGGATCTAGGCAGCTTTGCTGTTATTAAACCATCCCTGAGAGAGGTACATGTGACGTGCTGCTGGTTAATGCTTAGTGCGAAAGCTACAGGTGATGATTGCTTAAACTCTGTCCACTTTTAGGGGTCCTTGATTATCCATCGTTCTCATTGAAGACCTTTCAATGGTATCCATATTTTTCCATAATACAATTTTTTTGTAACATGAATTAAAAACGTCGGATTCCTTTTACTTTACAGCTCAGGGCCGGGTTTCCCGATAACGATGTATCTTAGCTCTTAAGAGCGCTCCCTACATGCAAGGTTACGAACGCTCGCCGCGATTCCACGCGCGTTTCCCAAAAATGCACTTTACATTAAGCATTAAGCATGCACATAATTAAAGGTGCTGTATGTAACTCTACTAAAGTATAAAAATATCATAATATGTTTGCATTAGTGCTGTCAAACAATTAAAATATTTAATCGCGATTACACTAATCACATTAATGTCATAGTTAACTTGCAATTAATCGCAATTAATCACACATTTTTATCTATTCTAAATGTCTCTTGATTTCTTTTTGTCCCATTATTTTTTCTCATTTTAATGCTCTTATCAACATGGAAAAGTGGATCGGCTGGCTTTGTGCAAATGTTTTTTATTGAAAACGTCTCAGGTTACGTATGTAACCCTGGTTCCCTGATAGGGAATGAGACACTGCGTTTGAGACGCGGTGGGAACGCTCTGCGTGATTGCGTCATGAAGCACGTGTAAAATCAGTCCAATGGAAGCCCGATACGTCATAGGTGACGTCATAGACCAGGAAACTATAAAGCACCCCAGAAAACAGACCGCGACAGCTTCTGAAAAGTCTGAAGCAAGTCGATCAGGGCATGCAGGAAGTATGGCAGACGAACGCAGCGTCTCGTTCCCTATCAAGGAACCAGGGTTACATATGTAACCTCAAACGTTCCCTTTCAAGGGAACTCGAGCTGCGTTTGAGACGCGGTGGGAACCCCATACCCACTATGCCATAGTGACAAATGCCCGTTCTGTGTGAAGTCCTGCGCACACTAAGAAGCAAGCAACCTCGCCCCTGGAGTGGAGAGGTCAAGGTCATAAAACCTGACAAATGTATGCCGAGAGGACCATCCTGCCGCATTACAAATATCAGGAAGGGAAACACCCGAAATTAAGGCCGTAGAGGCCGCCATACTCCTTGTAGAATGGGCCCGTACAGCCATAGGTGAAGGCTGACCGGCCGCTTCATAAGCCAATGATATAGCCTCGACTATCCATTTGCTCATCACCTGTTTAGATGCAGGGCACCCTCTCCTGAGTGACCCAAAGCAGACAAATAATTGTTCAGACTTACGCCACAGGGCAGCTCTGTGAACGTAGGCATCTAATGCCCGAACTGGACATAACAGGTTCAGTTGTTCCTGATCTGGGGTATTAAAAGGTGGAGGATAAAAGGCCTGCAGCACTATTGGGCCCACAACATTAACTGGGACCTTAGGAATATAACCCGGTCTAGGGTAGAGAAATGCCTTCACCATACCAGGTGCAAATTCCAAACATGAAGGAGCAACCGACAGGGCATGCAAATCTCCAATTCTCTTGATGGATGAAATAGCAAGGAGAAATAAAGCTTTCAAGGTGAGGAATTTTTCTGAAACCTCTTCAATAGGCTCGAAGGGAGCCAAAGCCAGACCCTCAAGTACAATGGCCAAATCCCAAGCCGGTGCTCTAGAGTGCAGTGCAGGTCTCAACCTCAATGTACCACGGAGAAAACGAGTAATTAAAGGATCTCTCCCGATAGAAGTACCCCCCAGAGGGGTATGGTAGGCCGATATAGCCGCCACATAAACTTTTAAGGTGGAAGGAGACAATCCAGCAGAGAAACGGTCTTGCAGGAAATCAAGAACTGGACCAACAGGGCAGTTAACAGGATCTAACTGACGCTCACCACACCAGGTGGAGAATAATTACCATTTCAGTGCATAAAGTTTTCTCGTGGAAG